CAATGTGGTACTGGTGCAATGACAGACACATAGATCAATGGAACAGAACTGAAAATCCACAAATCAGCCCATCTACTTATGGCCAACTGATTTTTTACAAGGGGATGAAATCAGGTCAAGTGGGGAAATGACAGCCTTTTTAACAAATGGTGCTGGCAGACCTACACCTCCCACCACACACAAAAACCAGCTCAAAGTCGATCAAGGACCTAGGAGTAACACCAAGGATTATAAACTTCATTAGAGAAAAGTTTTAAAAACCCTAGAAGCCCTAATCCACAACATGAACAGTCTTCCAAGCATCCTGAAAAACCTACAACCAGGAGAGGAGAAAATAGATGAATGGGACTTTCTAAGAATCAAACCCTATGCACATCAAAAAACTTCCCCAACAGGGTAAAAAGGGAAGCCACAGATTGATAAAAATATTTGGTAATGACATGTCTGATAAAAGACTTATCTCTAGAATTTATAGACTACTCGAGCACCATAACAAGATAAAGGTAAACAATCTAATGGCAAAATGGACACAGGATTTGAATAGACAGTTAACCAAAGAAGACATTCAGATGGCAAACAAACACATGAGGACATGTTCAAAATTCCTAGCTCTAAGAGAGATGTAAATCAAAACAAGTAGGAGATACACCCAGTAACAAAAGCAAAATTCAATGCAGCTGCAAACAAGAAATGCTGGTGAGATTGTGGAGAAACTGGAATCCTTATTCATTGTTTGTGGGAGTGTAAAATGGTGCGACCATTATGGAAAGCAGTACGGCGCCTTTGCAAAAAGCTGGAAATAAAAATATCATTTAACGCAGCAATTCCACTCCTGGGAATTATCCTAAAGAAACCATAAGTGACACTCAAGCAAATATATGCACACCCATGTTTATTGCAGCCTTGTTCACAATAGCAGAGAGGTGGAAACAACCCAAATGTCCATCAATGAATGAATGGCTAGAGAAGCTGTGGTATTTTCACGTAATAGAATATTATGCAGCACTGAAAAATAATGAACTCATGAAATATTATACAAAATGGGTGATCATGGAGGACATTATGCTAAGTGAAATATCTCAAGTCACAAAAGGGCAAACACATAATGCCACTGTTATAAAACAGGACTGACATGGAGGTTGGAGGAAACTAAGAAAAGAGAGGATAAACAATGTGTACTGCATTGAAACAGACAAGGGAGAGGACAGTATTAAAGGAATATATGATTAGGTATTGTTATCATGACAAGAGTCCAGAATAAGAGCTGCTTAGTAAAGTGGACTGGAGGAGGGGAACTGTATAACTATTTTTTTTTCCAAAGAGAAAAGGAAACTGGGGAGGGAGGAAAATGTGCAACAATGAATGAATAGAAATCCAAGTTCTCTATAAACTTTCATTAAAATCTCAATTAAAAATGGGATGAAATAAAACAAGTAAATCTAAAAAAGTATATTGGCACGCTGCTTTTAAATAATGCCAGCTACCCTGAAATTTCAAAAGAATAACAGTTAAAAGCACCTTTGAAATTTTTTGTTAAATAGAGGATTTGCAAGAAATCTAAAAACCACAGACAACTGTCTTGTTCACATCAAGTGTGGAGTTTAAAATACAGTTTAATTGAGATGTTTAATCTTTTTATAAATTAACTTATTTGGGATTCAAATTCTTAGGGCAGGAAGGCAGAAAGGTCCCCAGCACCATCATTAACTCAGTAGCTGTCGTTTATTCACTTTCTAAAATCTCCCAAGTGAGTCTATCATCATGACTGAAGCAAGGAAGTTCACCTTTTTTTTCTGAGAATAACATCAGGAACTACCGGGCAGAACATTCTCCAGCTGCAAGAAGTTTTGCTCTGCCCTCTGCTCATCTCAAGCCTGGGCTCCAGACTGGTGGGCAAGGCCTGATTACTGAAGTTCCCTGGCTGCATTTATAGGGACACTTGTTGACCAGGTGAGGTGAGAGTGAGAGGGGAGACAAGGAATTGCGTGAGGAAGAGGTTCTACTCAAACCTAGAAACCCACTCTTGCTTGGAGCCACAAACAGAGTGTTTTAGGTGATCTCTCCCTCACTGCAAGTGGAACTGAGAAATCTGGGTAGCAGGAGTGGACTATGAGGTGCACATTACCTGTGCCTCCTGCAGAGTTGGTTACTTGTACTCATCTTTATCACCTTTAAAAGCTACAGTATTCACAGGGCTTCAAATAACCCTGATTTCTGGAACTCTCCAGCCTTCTCTACAAGTCTCAACCAGAACAACCTGTTGCCATTTACCAAAATGTAACCTACTCCTTTGTTTGTTGTTGTTGTTGTTATGTGCCGCCGAGTCGCCTGCGACTCATAGTGACCCTATGTACAACATAGGTTTGTTTAGGTTTCCAAAAAGGGGCAGTGAGAGAAGCAGCCTCCCATGACATATCCTAAGGAGTGTGTGATTTGTGGATTACTTGAGGATATTTAACCTCAAAAATGCTTATTGTTTCTTAACAAAAGAAACTATACAAACATCAAGAATTCTAATAGGACTGAAGCATGCTGTCCTTTCTACTCACACTCATGTATGGCTAGTCTTGCCAAGACTAAAGCAAATTTTAGAAGAAAGACAATCTTCGAAGCCCAGGGCTTGTGTGTCTCCTAACAAAAGGTCAGAACTGGTCCGTGTGGCTGACAGCATGGCCCAGTACGCTTCTAATGTCACTGTAGGGAGAGGGTGGCTGTGCAGCACCTTTTGAGTTGGGGAAGTTGGTCCTTCTCTTCAGATGGGAGAATCACAGCCTTTCCCAGACAGCAAGAGGCTAGATGCTCCTCTTATCTTGCAATCAGACTTTTCCCAACTGCCAAGACTCCAGGGGAGGGGCCTCAGTCTCTAACCATCATGCTGTATCCTAAGCTTAAGGATATCAAGGTCTGGTTTCAAGAGATAGCTTGAAGAGATAGCTTGATTATTATCATCAGATAGCTCCAGGAATGCACAATGAGAGCAGAAGGCTGAGTCAAACTTTCCACATAAAAGGATCCCTTTCAAGACAGAGAATGCAAGCATGGTATGGGAGGGAGGACACACATGAGACTGCCATCACCACCAGCTGGGAAAGGCCTTGCCAAGCAACAGAAATATATCAGTGTTGGTATATATTCTTTGGCTTGCAAGTCTGCTGTCTATATAGCACCCCAAGCAGGCAGCCTGCTCTTGTTCATACCTTGTGCTGGGACACCAGTTTCCTTTGAGTTTTGGCGGTAGACCTGCAGGTCCCAAGGCGCTCCACTCCACCATTCTGCTGGACAGAAACTCCTCCTCTCAATACCACCACAGACAGAGTGGAGAAACTGAGACCCTCCCCTCCTCAGGACAGGGCTTCTGGATGGACTTATCCTGCCTTACCCATTAACAGGGGTGGGGGTAACACTTCACAGTGGGGAAGTCAGAAATCTTTAAAGAGAGAGTTCACTGGTAAAAAGTAAGCTGAACATATGCTCTAAAACGAGGAAGATTTCCGTACCCTGCAGTGGGAGGGATATCAGACTTTATTTTCTCTGGTATTAGAGGATTCCACAGTGAGATTTGGGGGAATAAGAAAAGAACAGAAGAGGAAAAGGTAGAATATAAGAAAACAGTTAATCTTCAGCCTTTCTGCTTGCACCCTAGGGATTAGGAAATCTGGAGAATGGAGAAGCCAAAGGAAATCATTAAGCCTGGGGCTCAAAAGGGGGCAGGGACAGAACCGGTATGAGGCTGAGCTCTAAGCCTTACAGCATCTCTCTAATTACTACTTGCTTGGAGAATTCAGTTAACCGATACCCCATAAAACCTTTGTTCTCTCTAACTCCTAACACTAGCACCAGTGGGGAAGGGGGATGGAAAGAAAGGAATCCAGTAAAACAACTTTTTGGGAAAGCCAAGAAAAGGTATAAAGAGCAAACATACTTGTTCAGAGAAAGGGCTTAGATTGTACCATGTTTCAGCTGGAATATTTTGTTTTTAATAAAAACCAATTTAAGATATTGTTCACAATATTCAATTAAAAAGAAAGCGACACTCCAAACCATGCCCTCTGAATGGTCACTAGTGAAGCAGCCACACCACTTAACAAACTATGGCAGTAAGGTGTGAAGGCCCATAGTAGCTCTGAGTTCTGGCAGATCCCTGAACAGAAAGCCAGTGTTTCTCTCTTTCCTCAAGAAAACCATCGGCTTATCAGAGGTAATGATGGTAATAAGCTCATCAGCTTACCAGAGATGAAGGTTCAAAAGGAAACATTTCACTTGGCAGGTTTTGAGAAAAATTCCTGACACATTCTTTTGGTAGGAAATGGGTTTTTTTTTAGTGACTATTAAAGACAAGTTAAAACTTTCTAAGGAAACTCTGGAGGGGGTCATTTTCTCATGGTTTTAGTCATGTGCTGCTGAGCCATTTCTGATTCCTAGCATCTCAATATGGCAGAACTCAGTAAAAGACGTAAAACCTTTGCTTACCTGGTCCACTGTCTTCTTCTCTTTGTGCATCTCCCGGCTGCCTCTTCTTTTCAAAGAACTCTGAAATAGACACATGTGACATCGTGTTAGTGAGAACTAGGTGCTGGGGACACTGTTACCACACTCAGGACAGAGACAAAGGGGGGAAGTCCTTTTTTTGCAGGAATCAAAAGAACTTGGAGTCAATGTTTAAATGTAGTTGAATATAGTGAGGTCCTAAAATCATAGAAGGCTTATGTGCAACCACAACTAAGTGGATGGGGAAACTGTGGTAAATTCACACAACAGAATACTATGCAGCACTCAGGAGAAATTATTTTGAAAAATACTACATACCTTGAGAGAGACTGGAGAGCCTTATGTAGAGCGAACTATAGTCTCATAAGGACAAATACTGTTTTATGAGACTATTATTGCAAAAATAGAAGGATAACTAGTAAAACATGTATGGGGACCCACCAGTGAAAGGTTTGGGAGTAGAGAGCTGAGGATGAGTAGGGGTCAAACTACAGGGTTGCCCAGTTTGGTGAGTGGAGGAAGGGGGGGGGAGAAGAAATGAGACGGATCCGGGGGAACCTGAAAAGACAGGATAATGATGGGCAAGGCCCAGTGGTGTTTAATTTTATAAAACATAATGCATGGGAATGATTATATGAAACACAATGTGAATAAAGAATATTGTGAAACAAAATGTATATGAATTTTTTTTTAAAAAGTTACCCAAATCACCTTTTATTTTTATTAACCTCAAATAATTTGTACAATACCCAAGCACAATAATATTTTTCCCTTTTGTATTGGTTTGCTTACAAAGTTTATATACATTGTTTTACACTATTCTTCATTCATATTGTTTCCTACAATCATTCCCATGCATTGTTTTGTAAAATTAATCACCATCATTACCCCGTCTCTTCAGCTCCCTGCTGCATCTTTCCCATTTCTTTCTCCCCTCCATCCACCCACTAAATTGTATGACCCTGTGATTCCCTCCTACCCGTGCTCACCCCTCAGCTCCTACTCTTTGGTTTGGGTAGCTTTTAACAGTAAAGAGATGAAAAACAAAACAAAACAAAACCCCACCCCAAAACAGTAGAGAGATGACAAGAATAAGAATAGAAACAATATTTTGTACACAGATACACAGACAGTATTTCTATAGCTGTCTACCTTCTGACTCGTGGTTTGTTTAGGCTGGAATCAAAATTAGTTGGTGCTTCCTGGTGCCCACAGTAAGTGACCAGATAAAAGAGTTGTTAAGTGCCATCGAGTTGCCTGTGACTTATAGTGACCCTAAGATAAAAGAGGAAACCTAACTGACGTTGCAAAACTCTCCAAGATTAAAAATAAATGCTGTCAAGTGGAACACAACTCAAATGGAAATAGATTCCAACTTAGAACAACTCTGTGCATGCCAGGGCAGAACTATGCTCGATAGGTTTTAAATGGCGGTTTCTTAGGAGTAGATTGACAGGCCTTTCCTCCAAAGCACTCTGGGGGATGTCAGCTGTGAACCTTTTGTCTAGTAACCAATCAAGCACAGTTAACTGTTTGCAACATGCAAACAGGGACTCCTCTTTACAAAGGGTTCATTACAACATAATTAGAGCTCACAGGTATCAGGATGTCCCTGTAAGTTGCTTGTGGCTGTACTCTGTCTGTACTGGGCTGGATCAAACTTAATGATATGCATGCATTAGAGGTGTGTCTCGCTGCGCTAGGTAAGAAACAAAATGGCACGGGGGATATAAATATGAATATTGATAGAATGATCAAAAGTAGTCTGAAATAGACTTAATGGAAATCCTGAAAAGTGCCTTCTAAGGTAAAATGTGAAGACAAAATGAAATGAGAAAACGAGAGCTGCATCATAGGGGAAGAAAAGGAACCTGGGGCCCAAAATTATTACGTTAACGTAAGACAGTTGGGGTAAAGTCTGGAAGTAAAGGGTTGTTCAACCTCCCTTTAATCTGAGGAAATCTGTAGGTGGGAAGGGATTATCTGTGATGCTCATGGCATCAAATAACCTTGGGCTTCCAACACCCATCCTGCGGCATGTACAAGACCCTGATCCTCTATTTGGTTCCTCCATAAAAACCAGTCCAGAAAGGATGCTTTTATGCAAATCATATCACAGAACTAAAGGTAAAAATCTGCTGTCAAGGAGCTCTCCAAAGTCTGAAAAAGCAAGGATCGCAGGTTAAAAACCAAGGTGTACCTGATCCAAGGCATGGTATTTTCAGTTACTTCCTATGCATTTTAAAGTTGGACAATAAATACGGAGGACAGAAGAATCAATGCCATTAAATTTGGTGTTGGGGAAGAGTACTGAATATCCCATGGATTGCCAAAAAAACAAGTGAGGAGGTATCAAAAGAAGATGGAAGGAATATACTGAGTCATTGTACCGAAAGGAATTGGAAGATACAGAAGCATTTAATGAAATAGCATTTGAGCCAGAGCCTATGGTGATGAAGGCAGAAGTTCAAGCTGCTTTGAAGGAAAGAGCAAAAAATAAGGCCCCTGGAACAGATGCTATACCAATTGACATATTTCAGCTAACAGATGCTGCCATGGATGTGCTCACCAAGTTATGCCAAGAAATCTGGAGAACAACCACTTGGCCAACTGACTGGAAGAGGTCAATATTTGTTCCCATCCCAAAGAAGGGCGATCCAACTGAGTGTGAAACTACAGAACAATATCATTGATTTCACATGCAAGCAAGATTCTACTGAAGATTATCCAAAAACGACTGGAACAGTACATCAGCAGAGAACTGCCAGAAGTCCAGGCTTGGTTTAGAAGGGGTCGTGGTACTAGGGATATTGTAGCTGATGTTAGATGGATCTTAGCTGAAAGCAGAGAATACCAGAAGAATGTCTATCTGTGTTTCATTGATTATGCAAAGGCATTTGACTGTGTGGATCATAACAAACTGTGGCTGACTCTGAGAAGAATGGGAATCCCAGAACATTTAATTGTGCTAATGCGAAACCTATACTTGGACCAAGAGGCAGTCGTCAGAACAGAGCAGGGCAACACTGCATGGTTCAAAATTGGGAAGGGTGTACATCAGGGATGTGTCCTGTCTCCATACCTTTTCAACCTGTATGCAGAGCAGATTATCCGAGAGGCAGGGCTCTATGAGGAGAGGCGTGGCGTTAGGATTGGTGGACGATCTATCAACAATCTGCTTTATGCAGATGACACAACCTTGCTCCCTGAAACTGAGGAGGACCTCATGCACTTACTGCAGAGAGTCAAGGACTGCAGCCTTCAATATGGACTGAGGCTCAATGTTAAGAAGACAAAAATTCTCACCACTGGACCAATCGGTAGTATCAGGATGGATGGTGAAGAGATTGAGATTGTTCACAGCTTCAGTTTGCTCGGCTCCACAGTCAACACTCTTGGCACCAGTAGCCAGGAAATCAAAAAAACGTATTGCGATGGGAAAGTCTGCAGTTAGGGAACTCTCCAAAATACTGAAGAGCAACAGTGTTTCTCTGGAGACTAAGGTCCGCCTGATACAGGCCATGGTTTTTGCAATCACTTGTTATGCATCAGAGAGTTGGACAATGACTAGGGAGGATAGAAGGAGAATTGACGCCTTTGAGCTGTGGTGCTGGAGAAGAGTATTGAATGTACCATGGACTGCCAAGAAAACAAACAGATTCATCGTAGAGAGGATTAAACCAGGCTGCTCCTTGGAGGCAAGGATTCTGGGGCTTCGTCTGACATACTTTCGACATGTTGTAAGGAGAGACAAGTCTTTAGAGAGGGACATCATGCTGGGTAGAGTGGAGGGACAGCACAGGAGAGGAAGACCCTCTATGAGGTGGATTGATTCAGTGACTGGGGTACTCGGGATGGGTTTGTCAGAGGCAATGAGATTGGCACAGGATAGAGCACGGTTTAGGGCTGTTGTACATAGGGTCACTATGAGTCGCAAACGACTCGACGGCACATAACAACAACAACAACATGTCTTGAAGAAGGTGAGGTCAGGTCAGGATGCTCATTCTTCTTGTTGTGTACTGTTGAGTCAGAATGACCCATAGTTGACCTTTCTGGCAGGTTGTCAGAGACAGTTAATCTCCTGGGAGGAGATTGCCCATCGTTCTCCTGAGGAGCAACTGGTGGCCTCAAACTGCATGCCTTTGGGATTGAAGTACAGCTTCTTGCTACTAGGCCACCAGAGCTCCTTAAGGATGCTCCTTAGAGGCAAGGATAGTGAAACTTCTCTCACATGCTTTGAGTATGTTGTTAGGAGGGGCCACTCTTTGGAAGAAGATATCATTCTGGGAACAATGGACTGTTATAGTGGATTCCAGTACATCAGAAGCAGTGATGATGGAGCAGGAGTAAGGTTCAGATCTGTTGTTCTTAGGGTCATTATGAGCTGTCGTCAACTAGACAGCATTTCACACCTGCTCACATTTAAAGCTTTTCCCTTTCAGAATTCCAGGCCCTCCACTTAGCTAAGGCATTTCAGGTTAAGCATCAGTTAAAATCTGCTACTGCAGTTTTTGTTATTAGGGGCCATCAAGGAAAATACAATTCACAGTGACACTCTGTAAGACAGTTTCATCCTTGCCTCTAAGAAGCACCCTAGTTTAACCTCCTCACAGATTTACGTACTCTTCTGGCAGCTCACAAGATATTCAGTATTCTCCAACACTGCCACTCAAAGACATTGGTTCTTTTATCATCCTTATTCACTGTTCAATTTTCAAATGCAAAGGAAGCAACTGACAATAAGTGACTCGGGTCAGGTGCACATTAGGCTTCTCATTAACATCCTTGCTTTTTTCAAACTGTGGAGAGGTCCTTGACAGCTTATTTCCCAAATGCAGTATGTCTCTGGATTTCCTCATTGCTTCCACCCATGGGTGTTAATTGTGGATCCAAATAAAATGAAATTGTTCACAACATCAATCTTTTATCTATCTACCATGATGTAGACTATTAGTCCAGTGGTGAGGATTTTTGTCTTCATGTTGAGAGGCAATCCATGTTGAAGTTGTACTTCTTTTATCTTCTGTAGCAACTGTTTT